CTGCGGCCGCCGCGGGCAGGCGAGGAGTTTGCAAAGTGCCGGCTGCGACGCGAGGGGGAGCGGGAGCCTTGAGATCGTAGAGGGAGGAGGCGCCTGGGAGGGAGGGCGCCGCCTGCCGGGCCCGCCTCTCCACCCCGCGCGCCCTGCTCTTCAGCGCCTCAGCAACTCAGCGCCACGGCTCCGGAGCCCCTCATCCTAGTCCCAGCCCCGCCCCCTAAGCCCCTCAGTCCCGCCCCTTCATCCTCTTGTCCCTCAGCCCAATTTCCTCAGCGCGGTCCCTTAGCCTCAGCACCGCCTCTTCGGCCCCTCAGCTCCGTCCAGTAAATCCCTCAGCCCCGCCCCTCAGCCCTTCAGCCCCGCCCCCTATGCCCCTTAGCCCCGCCCGCTCGGCGCCTCAACCTCTCACAGTCCACACTTTCTCAGCCCTTTGCCCTTAAGCCCCGCCCCCTAAGCCTCTCAGCCCCGCCCCCTCAGCTCTGGGTACCTCCCCTCCTCCATTAGGCTCCTTAGTCTCAGCATCTAAGCTGGAGTCCGTCTAAGGCGCTGAGCACCACCCCGTCGGGGCTCAGCCACGCCCCCTCGGCGCCTCAACAGGGCCCCTTCATCAGCTCTCCTCCCTCAGTACCTCCCCCTTATGGCCTCAGCCCCTCCCTCTCTGCCCCTCAGCTTCCCCCACCCTTAGTCCTTCCTCCCCAGTACTTCAGCTCCTCCTCTTAGCCTCGACCTTTTCCTCAGTTCCTAGGCCAGACGTCCTTCCTCTGGCCTCAGTTTTTTAGCCCCAGGTACCTTAACATTTTCAGCCCCGCCCCTCAGCCAGTCAGGCCGGTTTCTTTTCCAGAGCTCCTCAAACCTGTGGCTTTGAGTGTGCTTGAGCACCTTGGCCCCAAGCTCCTTACCACTCTAGCTCCTCCATTCCGGTCGCTCCGTCCCCATTATCCAACCCCAGGATCTTCAACCTGTGACCCTCAGCCCTTCAGACAGGAGACCCCCAACCCAGCACTTCCTGTCGACTCTTGCCAGCCCCTCTGATGTATAAAGGTTAAAAAAAAAAATGAAGAAAACTGTCTTCATGCTACTGGCCCATGATTTTAGGTCGTGTGAACAGAAAAACAAGTAACTCATGAGACGTTTGGCCTATTTTAAGGCCTAAGTCTGCTAAAACACAAGGTTTGTTTTGTAGCCGCAGACACTAGTCTCACAAACTGCCCCTTCCTTGTGTGGTCAGAAGGTAGCCAGAAGGCTGGGGGTATGGCTCAGCAGTTAAGAGCATTGACTACCTTTCTAGAGGACCCCGGTTCAATTCCCAGCAGCTCACAACTGTCTGTAACTCCACTTCCAGGGAATGTAAAAAAAGGTAGCCAGAAAGCACTGAGACCCTACGGCAATTTACCTTGCCTCTGAGTCTCAGTTTCCTCGGGCGTACTACTATTCTTAATTGTTGGAATCTTCATAATTTTCTTATCCCAGATTTCTCTGGACTAAATTTACTTATGTTTTGTCTTCTTGTTTTTTAAGGGTTGTTGCCATTGTTTCTTGTTTTCTAGCAAATGCTTTTAAGGCTATTAATTTGCCTCTGGGTAAAGCCTTAACTACATCTCCAAAGTTTCTAAAACTTTATTATCTGCATTTTGAGGGCATTGCTTTTGTCAAGGCTGACATTACACTGGCATAACCCTGGCTTCACTAACTCACGCTGGCTGCTATCCGTCTAAACCCTCCTTGGGAATTCCCTGGGCATGCCTACAGAGAGGGAGAGAATGGTAGCAGGGCTCTCCCTGGGGTCCTCAAAATCACCAAGGACTTTTATCTCAGCATGACTGGAAATGAAAACTTTAATGTTGTCCCTTGCTACTAGGCTATTTGAATTGCTCCAAAAAATTCATGTTATCTTTGTAAATCTTGTAATTGTCTTGTGAAAAGTAATATCATGCTATATCCCATGTGTATATCTAAAGTGTTTAATGTTTTGATTTTTACATTTAAAATACGCTAATACTTTCGCAATTATGTTCTGATCTATCAAGAGTGTCTCCAAAAGATGGCCCAGGCTTCACTCCATCTTAAGGGAGATCTGACCTTGGAATCATGCTTGTATCTCTGCCAGTGTTTGGGAGTGAAGAGATTTCAAACTCTAAATCCTGGCACAGATCAGAGAGGAACCATGGAGGAAGGAACAGTGCCCCTATGCCCAGTGCCCACATGGCTTCCCCATGTCTGTATGCCCCCACAACAGTTCTTTCTGGAGCTGACCTCACACTTCTATCTCCACACTACCTGCTTGCTCTCTGAGACTTACCCTGTTATACTTCAGACGTAACACAGACTAACAAATCAGAAGCCTTCAAGGCATGGTCAGAGAGGAAGTTGTCAACTGCTTCAGGGGTCTTAAGGGGGGGGGCGCAGCTGGCCACACCCCAATTCTCTGTGGCATCCTGACCTTCTCTAGGTCCCCTGCACCAAGGCAAGAAGTACACAGGGAGGTGACAGAAGAGCCTGACATCTTGGGGGAGGGGGGGCACATATTCCATTATCCTAGCTCACACAGGAACAAACTCCCAGGAACAAAGTCTGCCCTACCATGGAGGGGATGCCTCTTCGTCAAAGGGCATCAGCCAGCCATTCACCTAGCAAATGTTCCTTGGTATCAACTCTGGCTAGAATCGGGGGGTGCAGAGCAGGACACACATGGCCCCTGCTTTCTTAGTGTTTTCTAGAGGAGACAGAGTGAGCGAGTATCAAGCAGCATGTAAGGGGGAGGTCACGTGGGGCCTGTCCTCAGAAGAGCCTTGGGTGGCTGGGTGTTCCACTGTTGCTGTGTAGATATCTTAATTTATTATCAAGGGCACATAATTTTCATTATGGACTGGACTCCCAAATCACGAGACCATCTTGGAGGAGAGTAACAACATTCTAGTGAGCATTTAATAGCCAAACCAAACCTCCCACTAGCCAAACACTCAATGGCCAAACCAAAAGCCCACCTCTGTTGTGTAAATGTTCCCATTATGGCTGACTTGAAGCTATGGGTTGAGCTCAGGGACTATAGGTACATCTGGGACAAGGCCACAGGTAACACCCACAGCAAGCATGAACCAGCTTAAGCACACCCAGCCACTGTAGCGCTGGAGACATGCAGGGTGTTCTGACAGCATGGTACCATCATGAGATTCAACACGAACCTGGTCCTAACGACATGTGAGCAGAGAGCTTCCCTTTGGGACCAAGGAAGCCTGAACCAAGATTGGAGCTGTAAAGATCTCCACTCCAACTCCTGATCTGCTCCAGGCTGGACACGTCCCACCAGCGCCTCTCAGATCAAGAGACCTGAAACATTTCTACACCCTGCTGCATGCAGGCTCTTGCTAGGCAAGATGGCTAAGCACAACTCACTGGCTACCCTGTCTGTTGCCACATCCTTTAAACTCTCTGGCTTTGATCCTCACTGCTGGACAGCAAATTGCTGAGTTCACAGACCTGTTTCTAGAGTCTAGACTCAGCTACCAGCTATCTCTGTGAGTTCCCCCAAAGCCATGGCCCTTGACCTAGACACATAGATGAACAGAACAGCAGGTCAGATAAGTGAGGATAAAGCAGAGGGGTTTTATTGTGAAGAACCAATAAAACAGAGCTGTCTAGTCATACACTGTCCCTTGCCTAAATTCCACAGTGCACAAGGAAAGGAACAGAGTCTTCAGTGTCCCATGAGCATGCTGTACTGGCTGCTGCGGCTGCCCAGTGGTGGATCACACTTTAGGACAAAGCCCTTGCCATGATACATGCTGGTAGTTGATGGCTCAAAACTCAGATTCCCTTGGGAAATGGCCCTATGATGACAGGCCTAACTTGGAATCTTTTGGCATGTTTCTATCTCCCCTTCCTAGGTGACTTTCATCCCAGAACTGGTTCATACAGAGTTCCACAGTCAGGCCCTCTTGCCTCCATATGGGCCATGCTGAGGGGTCATGCCAGCTTCAGTGCTTCCAGGAGAATCACCAGAGGCCTCTGCAGGGTCTGCACCAGCTCAGCACAATCAGCACAAGAGCACTCCTAGAAGAGCCAGCTCTACCTCTGGAGTCACCAGAGGCATCCATCTCCACCGAGTCTCCCTTCTTTATCTTCACATCTTCACTTGTTCTTGTTAAGATTTATAGGATGTGAATTCCACACTATGATTCCAGCTAAGGTCCTCCTGCTTTGAGCACAGATTCTAAAATATGAGACACTGATAACTTCATTTTTCAGTGTTATAATTGAGCAAATTAAAGGCCAAGTAGTGTATACTGAACTGAAGGGGGAAGAAAGATGTAAGCAGAGCTGTAAGCAAGCCAAAGGGAAAAAAGTAACAAGACTTTGGAGATGACAGAGGGAATGGATTGTTCATAATAATTTATTAATTTTTATTAACACATAGCTTCTCAGAGAGGGCATCCATTCTTTCAATACTATATTTGTTGTGGAAAACACATATTTCACCTTTAAAATCTTCTGGGAGCTCTCTGGCTCACAGCTAGAACTTGTGCTGGCTGCTTCCTGGGCCTTTACGTGGTTCACTGGGGATTTCTTGGCATTATGCTTCTGGATTGGGTCCACTGTTTCTTGGATCCTGTGTACTCTTTCTTGAATTCATTTTCTATTTTGCAGTGTACATCCCCAATTAGTTCTCCCAAAGATAGCCTATGAGAAGGTCTTTGAGTCCTTATGTGTCTGAAAGTATTTATTTTGCAGTTCTATTTGATTGATAGTTTGGCTAGGTATGGAATTCCAGATTAAAAATCTATTTCCTCAGAACCTGGAAAGGCTGACTCCGTTTTTGTCTCACTTAATGTTGCTGATGCTAGCCTTCCTTTAAACAAGTGATTCTCTTTTGGAAGAAAGGTGCTATGGTCCCTAACCAAGACATTGGAAATCTGGTGGGGAACATTTCTGGTCATCTCAATGACTGTGGATGATGTCAATGGATAATGAAATGGAGGAGAGTCCTATCTAATACAAACTTGATGCATTTATCTAAATTATTCTATTATTAATAAAAACTCAGGAGTCAGAAATTGGGACAAAATTCCAACAAATCCAAAGAGCAGCAGAGAAAATGATGGACTGGCCCTACTCTCCACATTTCCCAGATCTAAAACACCAGAGAATCTCTACATCCATCCCTACTACTTCTTGTGCATCTCTCTGTCCAGCTCACTGAGTCCTCCAACATCTCTATGGCTAATTCTAGCCAGCTGAATGTGGACTCTGCTCTCTGATTCAAGGTTTAACTTTATTGTCAGTCTCAGAGTCTCAGTGTGAACAAATCTCCTGTAACAAAAACTACGCTCCCGAACTGCCAAAAGTAAAAAAGTCAGAGGACTCCACAGTGCCTGACTTTATGATTTATAATAAGCAATGATAATCATGAAGAGTGTGAAGACAGAGCATAAATTAAGAACACAGAAGCCCATCCAGAAGTAGATCTGTGCCTGCCTATCTGATCAAGCTCTCACAAAGAGGCTTTCAGCCAACCAAGAGAAAGGGAATTCGTTCATCAGATGTTGAAAATTGTGCTGAAGAATGACCCAGACATCCCACCTTCTATAAAGCTTAACTTAAATTATATCATAGACCTGAACATATATGGCAAGCATATAAAACTTCTAGACAAAAATAAGAGAAGATCATAATGACCTTGAGTTTGACAGTGACAAACAGCATCAAAAGCACGCACCACAGGAAACACATTTTTAAAGGGAAAAAATCAATAACTTAAACTCTCACAAAATGAACTTTGTTCTTTAAAAGATGCTGCTAGAAAAAGGGAAAGGGGGCTGGAGAGACAGCTCAGCAGTTAAGTTCAATTCCTAGCACCCACATCAGGCAGATCGCAACTGCTTGTAAATCCAGCTCCAGGGGATCTGAAATCTGCTTGCGCTTCCTCAGGCATCTGTACTCACATACTTAAACCCACCCACCCCCAATACACACACACACACACACACACACACACACACAATTAAAAACTTTTTTTAAAAAAAGGAAAAAGAAAGCTTAAAGGAAAGGAAAAGGCAACCAGGTCTAGTGGCACATACTTGTAATCCCAGCATCAGGAAGCTGATGTCAGGAAAGCTAAAGTCCAAGCCTAGCCAGGGCAACACAATGAAAGCTCACTAAAAAGACAGATAGATGATAGATAGATAGATAGATAGATAGATAGATAGATAGATAGATAGATAGATAGACAGACAGGAAGGAAGGAAATGGCAAGCCACAGCCTTGAAGAAAATACTTGTAAACTATATATCTGAACGAGACCTTGGATGTAGACTATTTACAGAACTTTAACCTAATAGTAATACAAACAGCTTAATTAAAGAATGAGTAAAAGGGGGCTGAAGTGACATCTCAGAGGTTAAGAGCACTTGCTGCTCTTCCAGAGGACCCAAATTCAGTTCCTAGCACTCATGTCCTATGACTCCAGCTGTATGGGATCTGAGGCCCTCGTATGGCCTCCTGAGTACCAGGCATGCACACAGTACACATACATACACATATGCAGGCAACACTCTCACACAAAAATAAAGGTAAATAAAACCTTTTGTTTTTTTAAGACAGGGTCACACTATGTAGCTCTGGCTGTCCTGGAACTCATTATGTAGACCAGGCTGGCCTTTAACTCATAGAGATCCTCTTGACTTTGCCTCCCTAGTGCTAGGATTAAAGGTTGTGCCACTATACCTAGCTAATAAACCTTTTTTAAAAAATAGACAACTGTTGCTTGTTTTTTGTTTTTGTTTTTTGTTTTACTCTTTATTCTGCTCTTTTGGGAGCCCGCAACCCAGCTCCCAAATAAATCACACACAAAGCCTTATTATTACTTATAAATGCCCAGCCTCAGTTTGGCTTTTTTCTAGCCAGCTTTTCTTAATCCTAAATTATCCCATCTACCTTTTGCCTCTGGGCTTTTATCTTTCTCTATTTCTATATATCTTTCTTTACTTTTTACTCTGTGGCTTGCTGTGTAGCTGGGTGGCTGACCCCTGGAGTCTTCCTCTCTTCTTTCTTGCTCCTTAATCCTCTCTCTCTTCCCAGATTTCTCCTTCTATTTATTCTCTCTGCCTGCCAGCCCCAACTATCCTTTCTCCTGCCTTGCCATTGGTTGTTCAGTTCTTTATCAGACCAATCAGGTGTTTTAGACAGTCACAGTAACACAGCTTCACAGATCTAAACAAATGCAACATAAAGGAATGCAATACATCTTTGCATCATTAAACAAATGTTCCACAGCATAAACAAATGTAACACATCTTAAAATAATATTCTACAACAGACAACCCAATCTAAAAATGAGCAAAGTAACTAAAGAGGTATTTCTCAAAGGAAGAGACAGAGAGACAATGGCATGGAGATATGCTTGGCATGGCTGGCCATCCCTAGTATGAGCTAAGTCATAAGATACCCATGCACACTGTAGGTTGATAAGAACTAAAACTACAGGCAACAGCAGGTGTTGATAAGGAGGCAGAAGAATGGAAACCTTCACCCACTGGAGCACCAACATGACCAAAGAAAGGACTCTGTCCAAGTCCAGTGGGTGAATCAATGAGTTTCCTGGAGTTACTTAAGAAGCATAGGTAACTGGAATACCACTATGCCACCAGGAAGTCCCAAAGACCACTTCTGTGAGGAGTATCACCCTAGTCAACTGTTGATTATTTATATAGTGTCAGGAGGGAGAGGCCTTGTGAGGATCTCCTCAAGGCTCCTGGGCCCATGAGTCCCATGAGCTACCCCCTCCCTCCAGGAGGGAAGGCTAACAGATTTCCTGAGGGGTTTGTTAGGTGACCACAGCACCTCTGATTCAAGGTGGTCAGGGTCATGTCCAACCCAGAGGAAACATATTCTACATTCCTTGTGAGTATTTCACATTTTTACAAAATGACAGTAGGCTGGAGGCCTTCCACTTAGAAAATCCAGACACTGTTTTCCACATTCATAGGTCACTTTTTCTAAGACCTGTTCCTGGGCTTGGTACTCTGTGCTTGTCTCCCACTCCCTGCACCAGATTCTGGCAGCAAAGGCCATTCTGACTAATCTTGCACTCATAGTTCCCGCCCACTGCTGTCAAGAGCTGCTTAATATCAGCTAAAGGAGTGAACAAGCCCGGGAAGGAATGACTGGGAAGCCTGTGAGATCACCAGGCACCCCTGAATTCCTAGTTTAGATCTGAATCAGTGAAGCCTGTAGGCAGGAAGAGATCATGCAAGTCACCTGGAACACATACACACACACATACATACATGCATACATAATACAGACATAAATGCATATGTACATACAAACCTGTACATACATACACATATATACAAACATATACACATGCACATATATACACAAACACAATACATGAATATACACATACACATATACATGCACATAAACATATATATATATATACATATATATAAGTTTATTAGCATGCACAATATTTGGGGGGATACAATACCACATTTCCTCTCTTTTGTTTAAAATTTAAAAAAGCTTATAACTAATACAAGAAAAATTATATCCAATAAGTATACACAATATACACAATATATATACAAATAAGCATACACATTCATTCATACACACAGGAGTGGGAGGTTGAAGGCAGGAGAGGATACAACATGGATGTTCCCTTCCCCTCACACTCTCGTTCTGCTCTGCAGTGTGCCCGACTCTCCATGAGGATGGATAAGCCACACGCTGGGGCATCTGGCCTGGTCACAGCAGCTGAGGAGCCCTGAGACGACTCAGCTCTTTGAGCTCCAGCATTCCCCTTTGTAGGTGAGACCTTGAACCCCACTCACCAGGCTGCTCTGAGGGTGAAGTGAGACCACATCTGGATGCACAGAGGCAGTGCCTGGCACAAAGCAAGCACACATTACATTGTTCCTGCCTGGCCTTAGACTCAGGGACTTATCAGCACCCATCACACCCAAGTCAGAATACACAGACTGTTATACCATTCACATGAGTAGAAAACTGCACATCTGTGCTGAAAACTATAGTAGTAGCCATTAGAAGAACAGAGGCAGAGGGACAATTTGACCAATTTTAAAACAATGAAAAGAGAAATTTTGATTAGTTAGAAATGTAAAGTAAGATAGATGAGTAAGCCCAAACAGGTCAACAACTGAATAAATGTAAATGTCTTTACCACACCTATGAAAAAGCAAAGACTAACAGCTGAATGAAGTGGTGCACACTTGTCATCCCAACTATTTGGAAGGCCGAAGCAGGAGGATCACTAGTTCCAGGCCAGCCTGTCTACATAGTGAGAACTTGCATAAAAATAATTAAAAGGGGCCGGGTGGTGGTGGCACACACCTTTAATCCCAGCACTGGGAGGCAGAGGCAGGTGGATCTCTGTGAGTTCGAGGCCAGCCTAGACTACAGAGTGAGTTCCAGGAAAGGCACAAAGCTACACAGATAAATTCTGTCTTGAAAAACCGAAAAAAAAAATTAAAAAATTAAAAGGTACTCAGGTGTGATAGCACAGGCTTTTAATCCCAGTGCTCAGTGGGCAGATGAAGGAGCATCTCCATGAGTTTGAGGCCACCCAGGATTACATAGTGAGTTTCAGGCCAACCAGGGGTACATAGTAAGATCTTGTCTTAATTAATTAATTAATTAATATGCAGAGACTTCAGATAAAGCTCAGCTATACATATGAAGAAGAAAGATGGTTTAGGAACTCCCTCTGAGATTGGAATTCAGCTCCTCAAGAATGACACCCTAAGTTGTCCTCTGTCCGCCATACATCTGCACATGT